ATTAATAATTAATTTTTCTTTCACGTTCCCAATGGAACATAGGGCTTCAAGTTTCTATAGCAGTGTTTATTTTTACAGGATGGGATTGCTAGCCTCATGCCAAACCTTTCCTCTTCACTAGCATTATTTCTGGCCTAGCGAGGTTTGGGAGTGCGTCGGTCAGGGATCGAACCCCGGACTATGTGCATGGTCGGCGAGCGGCCTAACCGCTATGCCACCGACGCGTGCCATTAGATAATTATTATTTATTTGCTATTTTTTAAAAGATAGCAACCAAAAGTGCTGTCATTTTTAAATACATTTAGCCAAGTATGTTTCGACACTTACATTAGTTATTTATTCTTGTTTTACTCTAGGAATAAAATATTTTTTTATGAAGTTATACGTATGAGTTTAGACTTAATGATTTAAACAGTGAAATTAACTAGTGTCAAAGAAAGTAAACAAAAGCAAAAATTAAGATATTTAGTATATGTAAACGTCAAAGCGGAAGAGAGGATAAAATAATGAATCTAAGGTTCAACTTGAGATTAAGTATCACTAATTTATACATCATTGTTTGATACAACCACAAGCAATCATCCCTAAAAGATGTTCTCCTGTCAAAATTATTCGGTGCTGGAACTTAGCTAATCATGAATCCTTCAGCCCAGTTTGAGTCTTGCTTTTGGATTTTAGTGTATCGAGGCCTTTGAAGACTCCTGAAAGCGGTCGTTTCGTCGCGTTGATTTTGCTAGGCCTTCAGATCACTCCTTTTTTAATGACATCTGTTGTGGTTTGCCTGAAACGTGAGCCACCGAAAACCTCCATCTGTAGATGGCATCTTATTTCTCTCTATAGTTTGGTTTTCGTAAGGATTAGTTATGTTTTACGGGTTGATCAGGGATTGATATCAGTTAGAGAACCATTGAAAACCAGGGAGTACTGGACAGCTGCTGTTTCATCCTAGTTTGGGAATCATCGGCAGTACGCACCCACTGGTCCGGCTCTAGACTCGGCCATAGAATATTTCCCACTTGGGCCAGTAACCATCTTATTTCTCGTTTTCACTTTGCTTTAGTCTATAAAAATATGACCCATAATGTTGTTGTTTAATCTCTTAAGCATTTAAAATTCATACAGTCAGCTGAGTTTAATGTTTCTATTAAACTTGAGGAAAAGCATACTTGTGGGGAACGATGTATCTGATAACTGTTCCCAACATTTTCAGTGTAGATTACAGTTCTTTAGGAAATAAAGCTAACCAATCGAAGTCTTGAAACATTCAGTTATCTTTTCGGGTCACAAAATGTATTTGTGCACTATTTTCAGTTGTCTTTTACCGAATGTCGTGCATTTCTTGAAGCTAGAAAAAATCGACTTCCAAGATGTGGGCAATCGGGAAGTGACAGTCGCCCACACATTTCAAAAAGTACATGTGGCTCCTCTGGTCATCACCCTCTTATTCCACAGGCAAGTTTCCCAACTTATATTTGCCAATAAAAACTGACAGCTGAAAAAAATACAGCTGATGGTCTGTTTAAGCCATACTACTAACTTATTGTTACAGCATTTAACGCCAGGACCCTTCGTCAAATTATACAACTGGCCTTGCTAGCCGGAACTCAGACAACTCGAGACACAGATCTGTGTTGCGGCTCATAGGCACGCACATAGGATTCAAGTGTGGTTATTCACTTAACCCCATTTGGTCAACAGGGTGAATTTTCAAAATTTACCTTGCAGGTATCAGATTCTTCGAGGAGTTCATAAGAACTGTCAGATACAGAGACAGCATTGAGTGCTAGGTCAGAAAAATCCCTACTTAGTTTGACCCGTTTGGACAGCCGTATGTCCGTTTCCCTTCTGAATGGCTCAGTAAGGAGAAGGAATGACAGGGTTATCCATCGATATCTACCTGTTATCTTTGTCCACGTCTCAACCAACGGTAGTTCGGACAATATAAAGGATCAGTTCTACCAAAAATATTGATATAAATATACAACTTGGGTACTGTGGTAGAGCATAACTCCATTATAGATAAGATTTTATTTTGATGAATCACACAGAGTTATACAGTTAATACTGCTTTATGACACTGATTTATCAAAATAAAATCTTATCTTTAATGTCTAATTTGCTCCGAAAAGGAAAACGCTCAGATATTGTCATTTTATCAAGAGACTTTAATACCCAAGAAAGTCAATTTGAGGAGTATATATATATGTATATATATATATATGTATTTATATATACATAATAGCATTCTCAGGCTATAGCTAGAAGATAGGTCTCTATCATTGCTCATCAGCACGATTATAATTTTCTGGAAGATTATTCATATTGACACAATCAACAAAGAATAATATAACGTTGCAGAGGAAAAGCCCGTCTTTTCTGAACTAAGTGTTCCTTTTTTGTCAATAATAACTGGAAGTGACAACCAAAAGCATGATACAGACTTCATCACCCCTGTCTCAGTAGTCTTAATATAGACCTGCTTTGAGAGAAATCCATTCCAATAATAAGCGAAATTTTCTCCCCAATTTCAGTTATAGATATTTCAGTCTTGTCTGACACACAACCTTACTACACTTTTCTTTCAGTTAGATACATCGAATAAATTGCATAGCTCTATTCCTAGTGGTGAATGACCTCGGTCATTTTGCCTTTCTTCATAGTTCTGTTTATTTACATGCTGTGTCTTCTGAGCTGATAACGGATTTCAGTTTCACTTGCAGAATTTCATTTCACGTCTCATTCCTACATTATAAGTGGAAACATGTTATATATTCACTTCAGAGTGGAATAAAGACTTAGAAGTTGATCCTCTCCTTTGATTGAATAGGTTCAATGGATACCATTACCTACAGTCTATTTATCTTATGCTACTTTCACTTCTTTGTGTACACCCAATATGCTCTGGATAATTTATACACAGACCTTTGTATTACTTATTTTATTTTAATCTCTGGGTGACATTATTGATGTTTACTAATATACTGACTACGTGCTTACTTGTCAGTATACATGAATGCAACGTGATATATCCTTATATCAAAAGATTTCCTGCAATAAATAATAAGAATAACAATGAGAATTAAATTGTTGTCGTCGGAATTTTCATCATTTGTGAAAGACTTTTAATACTGCTGCTTACTTTCAATATTTGTCAAGTCATTTTCAATAATCATGTAATTATTTTGCTTATCTAAGTGTAGAAAAGTTTCTTGAAGTAGTAAACAGTATAGCTACACTTTTGAATTACTTCTTGACTAAATATGTTCTGACACTTTCATGATAAGTTCACGTTTTGTTTCTCAAAGCGTAATACATTGTTAAAGAGTGAACGTGTGAGTTACCACATGGTGATGAAGGTAACCAGAGTAAATCGTCTGGAAGGAAGCTAATAAAATAAAATTGACAGCGTAGTATATTTTGATATTAATGCCAAGGAGAACAATAAATTGTAAAAGGCTTCTGCAGCTTGAGTCTTTGCATAGCGACAGCAATGTTTGTCTCAGTGTAGTCCTGTAGTGACGCTAATTAAGCAGTTTATCATGATTTAGAAGTACAATCACAATCTCTAGTATACGTAATGACACAATACTGTTCGTAATGAGGCATATACTAATACTCATTATTTTCCATCGTTTCCAAGAGACGCGCACCAGGGGTTTGAAGACAGATCATATTGATGTGATTACATTTTCAAACTAAGGATATAAACAAAAACTAGGCAAAAATATGATGGATTGTGGTGAGTGGGAATTGAGATAGCCCGTGATTTAACCAAGCCGCCAACAGGTAAGTGAAAGGATTGTAGGACGAGAACATAGCAAATGAATCATGAATACATTCTCAACCAATTTCCCCAAAACGCCCACATAACCCTTTTACAATAGTGGTATTTATTTCATTATTATAAGTGACCTTATACTTACCATTTAATTTTCCCCAGGATATATAACAGTGTTCTAACGTTGGCATATATCCTATTGACATAGTCCTTATTATTTGTTTCTTTTATTTTCCTAAAGTCTAATATTAAAGATTCTCTTTGCTACTGTTAGGTAGTGTTGATATTAATGTTTTGCTTGTTTGATTGAAGCTGTGGTTACCATGTGAAGTGACTACTTACCAAAGACTGTCTGTGGGAAAAGGATTCGTTCTGTCTGATTTTCCAGGCGGAGTTTTGATCAAACTTTATTGGGAATACTCTTATTGATTTTCGAGTAGTTTATAGCTGAGTTTAATCAATTAATTTTTTGTAAGGTAAGTGTTTTGTATCTCAGATACTTTAGGATTAAATAACCGTGTTGAATTTTCCGTCGATACACATGAACAACTAGATCTTGTCTTCAGCCCTCTTATAACACAGTGTCAGCGGTCCGACGGTAGGATGCTTACCAAATATGCATCTGGTCTGGGATTTGATCTATGCTCGACACACTACTAAGCATAGCTAAGCCGGTAGTGGGCAAATTTTTTTTTTGATTTACAGCTTGATTACACACTGTATTTTTGGTACAAGTATGGAATTTTCAGAATGGATATCGGTAGCCCAAATTTTGCAGGCCGACCATAGATATCAGGTGTGCGCCGGCGTGGGCTCGAACCCCGGACCAAGTGCATGGTCGGCGAGAGTCCTAACCACTGTGCCACCGACGCACAAATTGAGAAGAAAGTTTGGCGTGAGGCTAGCAACCCTACACTGTAAAAATTAAAAACACCACTGCTAATGCAACTTCAAAGATCAAGCTTGAAACCATACGTTCCACTTGGAAAGGAAAGGAGTAATATAAAAACTCTGTTCTAGTGAACAGATGACATTGAGATGCTGAATTATATTTTCCATCAAAACGTAAAACTACGATGTTCAAAAACACGCCATGTAAATAAAATCACGTGTCTTTCTAGAAAGTATCCTGTTGACATGCATCATATAGCCTGTGTGAAAAGTATAAATTCAGAATTCTAAGCGCAATAAAATTTCAGAATCATTACTATTTTTATTCACCATGTATATACTCTACATACTTGTCATTTTACAAGCCTGTGTATTTCATTCCATTGACTGTACAAGTGAGTATTTCTTTTTTCAGAGTTATTCAGAGCTTGTCAGTGACAATGATAAGCACTTTAACAAAATAGCGTTCATTTCAAAGTCTGAAGTGTAACTGATGAGTAGTTTACTTTAGTCACAAAGAACATAAATTTCATTTAATTGCCATGAGAAAGTCAGAAGATTCTTGCTCTTGTATACTGACTGATACCACTTCCAATTTAATGCTGTGCAGAAGGAATTCACCTATTCTTTCAAGATAATTATTCCATGAATAAAATAAGATTCGAAAATTAAATGTAATCGGTCAATAACCCTTTTACATACGCACGGACGCATGAAATGTCATATACTATTCTCCAGCAGCATCTTAAATGGTTTAACTTAAGGTTGTCGCTGAAAACGTGTAATCATTATCCGGTTGTCGCAATTATAATTATTATTACAAGTTTATTTCTAGATAACTTTGTTGTTATTAACAGATATCCATTTCTAAGCTAAAAACTGATCAAAATCCACTGTTATTCTGTAGAAATAGTAGTAAACCTTAGCTTGAGAACTGTTACATTCTCAAAAACTTTCAAAGGCTTGTCGTCTTGTATCATTCCTTAGAAACAGATTACAAATAAAAAGCAGTTATTAACTGTGTTCACCTGCTCATCTTCATCCTCGTGCTTTGGTGGAAAAATAATAGTTAGGTGAGGAAAGTGGAATCGTACACTCAAGTAAAAACTGAAAATTGGTTTATTCATTTTGTGAAATCGTCATTCGGTGTTTTCATTATTTCCAAATACCTTCTAAACTCTAAGAAAAACTCATTAATTTACACGTTTACAATTAGAATTGGAGTATTTTGCCCGCATAACGACAGTTCGTAAATAATATTGGTCTTCGAGATATTCTCTTCAAAAATCAGTTACTGAAACCTGTCATGTCTAGTTATATCATAAGTGACAATGTTTCACTCAGGAAGTCTTTTTGATGAGTTCACTTTAAAAACATATGTCTCACATACTAAATAATACACGCAAAATGCATCTATGTCTGTTGTGTTTAGATCATAGGGCTCAGATAATTGTTGCCTGTATCGGTTTTATCTTCAAAATAAGGGTAAAAATCTCTCACTCACTCAATTGATTATAAAACATAACACATTTATGAAACTGACGTATTTGTGTTACCACCAATAGTGTGCTTCAATTTTGTTCATTGAGTTAAAGTGTGTCTGTAAAATATTTCACACACAAATTAATTTCTAATAAATACAGTGCCAATACCGTTTTTTGTACTTCTGCAGGTTCACCTCATGCAATCCGTGAAATGCGTGAGTCAATATTATTTACATTTTCATATTAGTCCCATATTGTCCTATTAATTTAGTGATTGTAATAAAGAAACCTTACATACAATAAAGTTTCATCTGACAAAATTCAGCCTACCTTTACAGCTGTTACAAAAGTTGATAATAATAAACTATTGACTTATATACTTGTCAAAAATGAATATCTTCTGACGTTTTTAGAACCAATTTAGAGGACATTCAGTTTCAAACACACTTCGGAATTGCTTATCTGATTATAAATACCAGGCGTATTGCCAACTTTTATCCTCTTTAGTCATAAATCGTTTACTATTTTTGAGTGGGAGATACGGAAATTTCTTAGGTCACTTAACAAACAATCGGCCAGCTATAATATTCCAAAGATGTTTGCAAGTTGTTTGCTCAACTTAGCCTATAAATTAAGAACAAAAATTAATGTCATAACGGTAATTCAACTTAACTAGCAAGTTTAAATAGTTTCACGCATAAAAATTGTTTCACTTGTGTTTTAAACTACACATAAAACTCAAGTTTTAGTCCGTCATTTTTATGATACCGAACTTCTGGCGACTCAGGTAAACTAGGAATGTAAAATGTTTCATATTTATTTCAATATAAAAAATATCCCCGTTTAGACATTTAGAAAAGAGAAAGATTGAGCGAAGAAATATTTACTTTTCAGTTAGATCCTCATCTCTAGCTCTACTCTAATATATATAGCATTTTTTATTACAATGCACAACAATTTACCAATCAAGTGGCGATATGTTTGCTAACAATAATTAGTCAGTGTCAAAATGTCAATGGGGTGATAATTAACGAAGAAAATTAATATATATAATTAAAAGGTGGAAATGGTTACAACAAGTGGATTGTGTAATGCATATTTTTGGAAAAAATGAAGAGCAATTAAGGAATAAGCGTGTGCACAGGTTGATTACGTAACAGACTGCTAAAGAAAATAAAACAATTAAGACAATGATAATTTGTAACTTGTAAAAATTATTTTATTCTTATGACCACTTCAACTTTAGTTACAAATTATCATTGACATTTTGACACTGACTAATTATTGTTAGCAAACATATCGCCACTTGATTGGTAAACTGTTGTGCATTGTAATAAAAAATGCTGTATATATTAGAGAAGAGCCAGAGATGAGGATCTAACTGAAAAGTAAATATTTCTTCGCTCAATCTTTCTGTTTTCATATTTATTTGTTTTCATTCTAAATTTAACGTACTTCCACACTCTTAGAGGAGAGTCTGGAGCACTTCGGTAAGTTAGTTTTTCTTATAGATATTAGTCTTGCATTGTCCTCAATGCTCACGGTTTACTGTAAGGAAGTAATCATATTACTACTGCATGGTTTTGTGTAATTATTGCATTTGTTTATATAACCTGGAAATCTATATTTCGTATACTCGATGAATTTGATTGAATGTGACCAAGGCAATAAAGATTCTGCATTTCCTTGAAACTGTCCACCAACTGTGGTCATAATTAGAGGTTATTTTAGGCAGTAGGTTCTGATCTGAGTAAATTAGAAGACGTAAATCTATTGGCATCCAAAATTCATTTCACTCTGCGTAGCCTAATGAGGCTTCACGGTGGATGACATTATATAGATGGGAATGTTTTCTAAATGCTTGTTGTAGCGATGATTTCCTTTGCAGTGAATAAAGATTACACATTTAAATTTGATAGTAAATTATCGCTAACTATATAAAACTGAGATTGTGTTATAATAATGTTTATTTAAAAACATTGCAATCAATTTGAGAAGCTCCCAGCTGGGATCTAAACTACTTAAATAATCACACATAGATATATATGGGTAATTTTCTGAATATCTACAGTTCGTTCAAGTGTTCCAGACTCATTGCTAAATACACTTTGCATTGATTATATGTGTAAAATTTTGGCATTGTGGTAGTAATTAATTCCATATTAGTTTGTTTATTAAATGTATCACACAGTGAAGCAGTATTATTTAGTGGATGACATATCAAACAAAATCTAAGACAGGAAGTGATTTACATAAAATAAGCCTTGAAACTTAATAATTACCCGGATAAATTAGTCAGGAAATATGTAAGTAAATGTAAAAATAAAATAAATAATGAAAATAGCGATAGTGATAATAATAATAATAACAATAATAATAATAATGGTAATAATAATAGTGATAATAATATTAATAACGACACCAACAATAAGGAATGTAAATCATCAACAGTAATCCCATACAAGGAAGGAACCTCGGAAATCTTACGCAGAATTCTTAACAAGGCAGGAATAAAAGTGGCTTTCAAACCCACAAACTCAATTAGAAACAAGCTTTGTCGGTTAAAAGATCCTGTGGAGCCTTTAAAAAAACAATTTAGTTTATCTAATACCCTTCTGGAATGATTGTCATGTCAAATACATAGGTCAAACTAGTAGAACAGGGGCAGTTAGACTAACCGAACATAAAAACCTAGCAAAATCTGGATTGGTTGATCCAAATAAGATAAGAAATCTAGAGAACAGTCCAGCCATAGCATTATATGCAGTTACACACAGCCATACAATAGATGGGATAGGATGACAGTTTTAAAATCTAATGCTGCAGGGTGGAGGGAGAGATTGATAACAGAAGCTTTGTTTATCGAACCAACTGCAAATACATGTAATAGGAACGATTCATCACCTGTCCCAGATATTTGGAAAATTCTACTACCCATACGATCTTTCTGTCTTCTAAATGTCTAAATGGGTTTTTTTCTTTATTACAAAACTAAAGTTTCAAAGTCGTGTGATTACAATTTATATGTTTATGAACAATAAATGTTTTCCAAAACGTCATCCAGTAAATAATGTTGTTTCACTGTGTGATACATCTAATAAACGAACTTATATGGAATTACAGTTTGATTTCGTTTGCATTTACAAAATGTAACACAATGTGTTAGTTTTATTTATTAACCAAAATTGATAGTGTTTTGACTAATATTACACTTTGACACAGTTAAAATAGCAGTATTAACTCTGTTATTTTGTGTATTACTTTTGAATTCACGTGAACTCAAGCTTTCAATACCAGTAAGTATATTAACTTTTATTATTTACCCACTGAGATATCGTATTCCCATAATTTGCTGTTTTAATTAACACAAACTTTCATAACCTCCATTCTCATTGTTCAGTTCTTTTGACTATTCAGGAGTCTAGTGAATAATAATTTACTGCATACTTAGGCAAACGAAATGTGTATTCGAACGATGCTGATCTTAAATAAGACCTACCTGAGCTATAGCCCGCTATAATTTGTGGTTATTTTGATTATTCCTTTCTTGACTTCCGATAGGAACATAGCATCTCAGTAACTCATATGACACCAGTTTCAGCTGGCTCCACAACTGCTCAGATATTTTTGCTTCCCCTTCAGATGACCTATTTCACTTCACCGTCAGACGTTCAACCCATCAACTCCTACTTGATTTTCATTCAAGGATGTATGTGTAAAACTTGGGCACTGTGTTAGTAATTAATCATATCACTTGATATGATTATGAACAATAAATTGTGTTCGAAACGTCATCCAGTATACAATACTGTTTCACTGTGTGATACATCTAATAAACAAACTAATATAGAATTTCATCCAAGGAGTTGTATGATTTCATTTGAATGTGTGCTTAGCTTATACTCTATGAACCTCCAATTTATTCCACTTATTTTTTTGATAGTAGGAGGTTCTTGGGTGGTTCGCTGTCACAGCAGTTCACTATTGAATATCTCTTCTTGCTGACAATATGATGACTGGTGTCGTGCAAAGGCAGCTCTTGATGGACATCTGCAGTAGGCTATTGGTGAGTTCTTTAGTGAAGCTCATTGCGAGTTCCTAAGGCATACATCACCATTTGCTTGAGTACTGTGGCCCTACAAATTGATTTTGCTATAATGAATACACTGCTTGATGCCCCTACCCTGAGTGGTTTTGATGTCCTCATCCATGCCTATGGCTAAAACTATGCTATTAACGTGAATCAAAAAGAATAACTTGCTATAGACTTCTCATCTCGGTAGTTACTGGTGGTTGTTGCTATCGGTTCGGTATTTGCATTATCTTTGTCTACTCTTTGTTCAGCTGAAGTCTCATCCTCGTTGCCTTTTCTAATAAATTTTTGCTTTTGGTTTGGTATATACGGAATACTACTTAAATCATCCAGAAATCAGAACATATATGCTGTTTTGTCCTTTCAAACTAGGCCTAATTTAAATTCTATGACACATCAGCTGCATTTGTGATAGAATTCAAAAGTGAAAGGTGATTTTTTGATTACTTGAAATTCGAATGAATGTTTGCCTAAATGAGTGAAATGCACTGCAAACTGAAGGTAGTTAGTTTTTGCATTAACGAAGTGTAACAGAATATGTTACTCATATACTTCAGCCTCAAGAATTATTTTCTTCTAATCAACAAATATTCCAGAAATAAGATTGTAAATAAACACGTGCACAAGTGGTTTTCTCATAAATGTGCATTTGCAGAACTTTACTTAGGAGAACTGGGTGAGTCATTCTATCAATTAGTACCAGATAATTATAAAGATCTCCAGCGAAAGTGAGGTGGTAGCTCCGACTGTGTTTTCTAACTTTTAATTCACTGAGTTCCAAATGAATAGGGTTTTAATAGGGGATTTTAAGCTTCGTTAAGAAGCGTTTCGTTTTATGGGGTGAGGCTGTTAGCCTTACGCTCGACAGTCGCTCGTCGAAGTGCTCACTACCGACTTAGTGAGTTTCAAGAGTGCATTCTCTGGAGATCAAATCCCAGACTTCCTTTCTGAAAATCATCCAGAACCATTTAATACCTAATGTATCTTCATGTAGAGAAAGTGAATGAACATTATTTTCTTGGACATTCGCCATTCACACAGCGACTGCTTGAACAATAGTCAACTTTGCATTCTCAGAAAAATTACTTAAACAATGTTGACGATCTGTGGATTCGTGACGTGTAATGCATATTTAGTATTTGGTAAGGAAAGGCAATATCATTGATATCACTGATGATAAAAGTTATTCGAAATACTGTTAAAAATATGCATATTGCCCGGTGCATTTGATACAAAGCCGAACTGTTTGTACAGATGTTTCACTAATATGTACTGACTCATTGAGAACATCTTTCTTCCACAGTGTATCTTAGGCAAAACGACAATATTGTTTGGTGCACTTTATACGAATGAGCTTCAGGTGAAGCTCCTGAACATCAGGAATCATGTATAAATACATGAGAAAGGAAGGCAAACGAAACTACACTAGATGAAGATGTCCAAGAGACAAATCAGGGATGATTTTAAGAGTTTGGATGAAAGAGAGGAGTGAACATATCATTCTCAACGTAAATAATTTTGATTTTAGTTATTAATGGCCGTTAAACATTAATTATTAGCATCTAGAAAATACCAGTCATATCTGCTACACTAACGTGCGTGACACAAAGCAGAAGTCAAAATCTTCATGGACTTTCGACAAGTCCTAGTCTAAAAACTCTTAAATGTTTTCATTTTAGTCCTTTAACAGCCCACATTCATTTGTGTGGAGGACTGTGGTTCACAGTCTGTAGCAATTCAAAGGATAAAGTTTCACAGAACCATTGATAACGGCCTCTCCTTGACTAAGACTGTAAACTCGCCCTCATTATCGTGGGCCATATTGCTTCAGCTGACCAGAGAGACTATAAAGAGGCACCTGTTGTTAAAAACGATCAATGTTTTTATACTCTCCACTAATGGCCTTATTTCCAAGTAGTAACTTAGAAAAATTGGATGTTCCAGAAAGCATAAAGGTGCATTAGACATATATTTTAAATTGGTAAACAGCCATCAAGCTAATTCATCCGTAGTGAAACTTCTATAGCAATGTTTCTAAAAGATAAAATGGTGAAAATATTTAGCCGTTTCATAGACTATCCCTAAACTGAGAGTTGGTGCTGACCTGACCCGCAAAACATTGTTGCATTTTTACAAGTGAGAGTCTTTTGTCTGACATAAGCCTGTGTTTGCTAAAGATTTTTCACATATCAGTGTACAAAGCCATTCATCGATCATATAAAGCACGTCCATTGTTGGGCTTATAGTGAAATTAAACTCGTGAACTTATTATAAGATATCGAAATATTCGATATTACCTGAAAGTGATGAATGATTTTCTGAGCATATAAAAGTTGAATAAACATTCCTTCAATGGATTCAGATTCATTCATTAACAGATCTACATTTCGCTTGCATTTATGAAACGCCTCACAATGTTTTTATCCTGTATAATGATCGAAATCGGTGGTGTATTAATCAATGTCGCATTCTGATCGAGTTTCAGAAGTAGTAATATTTTTGTTATTTTTTTATAACATGCTCTGTCTGTAAACCCAAGGCCGAAGAATTGGTAAGCTTTAATCTTACTCCTTTGACTGTCTTTGACAAGCACATTATAAATTTATTCTAAATTTATATTTTCCCTTATGTACTACTACACCATTTGAATTTTTTGTTTTGTTTTGCTTTTTGTGTCCTAGACAAATTAGACATTCCTCCCATTCGGTATCCTAGTTTTATTTCAGCTGTCATTGATTGTTTTCTATTTCCTTCCTATTTTCCATTTGATATTATATTATTGCATTTCACATCTTGTCTACATCTGTTTCTAAGTAGATACGACACTTAGCCTTTTTATCAACGAGCATATTAATTAACATTAATTGTATGTTCTTGTGGAAGCACCTACATTCAAATTTTGTTGTCCCTTCATGGTATCCTCCTTCATTAACCACGTGTATCAGTGGTAAATCAGGACATAATACACCTGTTGGTTTCAAGGGACTTGATTGGTTTAAGGACTTCATCGTGAACTGATATTAGCTAGAGGATCATTGGAAAACCGATCAAATCTCTGCAAACCAACACTTGAATATTAATGTGATGCTCATTATTGACTGGCCACGGTCATTTAGTTAGTCGCTTGGATTCTAGTAGGAAGTCCTAAACAGTGGGGTACAGCAGGTCTGGTGTGAGTACAAATACTCGCCAACGACATTAGCAATTGGGTCATCCATATCATGAAGTGACAGAAGTTGGAATTCATAGACAAGTAGATAGGGTCCCAGAGGCTTAGTTTTTTTGATGGTGTACGAGGTCGCATTGTAAGCGGAAGTTCCTGAGTTCAAACCCTGACGACTGGTGCGTACCGATGAAGAGTCCAAAACAGGTGTCCAGTACTTCAGGTTTTCCAATATTTCTTTAACCGATGTCAGTTCCTGATGAAATCCTGTTACGAAACTCACACTTCAGTCTGCGACATCACTCCATAATCTCTTAATGATTGCATATGGATATTGCCTCCAAAGGTTGATATACATATAAAAACGTGGACATTTTGATAACAAATCCCTTTCATCTGCATTGTGACTAAGTTGAACGATAAAACCTCAGAGTATTTTGTAGTACCGTTCGCGAAAATGTGTAACGCGTGGCTGAGAAATTCGTTATATTAGAATGTGGTGAGATAAACTCCTAAGATCAACCACCGTATCAGACTACAGGGATCCAGTGATCTATTTACTGTTGAGTTTATCTATAACTTTATGCATAATTATCATACACTAGAAAATGATTCTCTGATACTTCTCTTCTTTCTAATATTGTGATCCACTGATTTTTGATTTCCTTCTTTGTTATATTCAAGTCTGATGACTTTTACTATTGCTTTTGAATGCTTATTTTCATTTCTACTTCTACCATTTTGTCAAGATCCAGCGAAAGACCAGAATAATTGTGAAACATTTCAATGACATGCGTGATTTGAAAGTAATAACTATCTAGTGTTCTAGGCTAGAATATTATGACCATTCCTTGATCGTCAAGCTACTTTGTTGCTGGAACAAATATGATGCCTCACTCTGTACATTTCCATATGCAAACAATGTAGACTTTACAACTAATTTTTAAGCTAAAGTGATTTTACTAAACCCGATTTAAACTAGCTGACTTCACAATGACTAATATCACAACTGCTTGGAGTTTTCACCTTTTGCACCCAAACTTCGTGGAATACAAAGCTATATCTCCTAGTAGATTTTTATTTGACCCTACTTCATTATTTCCTAGAATATTTCATAATCAAGAGAAAGATAATCGTGGTAGTGAGAGAAAGCTCTTCACTACTGCGTCTGCATAATATTTAGATACTGAAAAGGGAAGGCGTTTAGTAAAGAGTAGCTCTTTTTGGCGATATCTTTCTCAAGCTACAAAACCACATATATACATATATAAATTCCTTTAATTCCCAGAGGATCATAGGGCTTCAGCTGCGCATCTCCATTGCCTTCTGTTTTCTGCCAACTTTTTCACCCCGCTCCACGTCTGCCCACACGCTTTCATCTCCTCTTTACATGACCTCCTCCAAGTTACCCTTGCACTAATGACCAACTCGCCGATTCCCTTTCGGGCTACACTCGAGCAATGGCTTGTCTAGTGATGTCACTTGATGGTTTCCTCAGAGTATGACCAGCCAATCCATCCCCACTTCTTCCTGCCTATTTGTTTCACAATCGGTTCCTGCTTGGTTGGTTCGCTCCCAGAAATCCCTGTTGCTGATCTTTTCTGGCCGGCCATCTGATCTTGAGTATTGAGTGAAGACAACTGTTAGTGAAGGTCTGTAGTTTGTTTGAGATGCTCTTTATGACGCACAGTGCAAGTCTCTGATCCGTAAAGTAGCACTGACTTCACATTGGAGTTGAAAATCCGCATGTTATTTTGATGCTGAGTGCTGTTGACCTCCACACAGATTTGAGAGTAATGAAAGCTTGTCTTGCTTTCCAGTCTCTATCTTTGATATCCTCGTCAGTTCCGTCGGCCTGTAGTTGAAACGATGCTTCCCAGCCGGGCAGGTAAAGGAGGGTGTTTCTTTCAGGTTCCTCCCATTTATGCTGATTGTCGTCTGTTGTTGTTGTGCTGTTGATGTTGGCCGGGAATCTTCATCACCTTTGTTTTATCTATGTTCACTTGAAGTTCTATCTTTGATGCTTCTTCTGCCAACTTGTTGCTGTTCACTTGCATATCTTCCAGTTTGTGGGAAATCAAACATATCATCGGCAAAGTCCAGATCCTCAAAGTATTTTGTGTGAGTCCATCTTATGCCTGTTTCCTCATTCCCCGTTGTCTGTCGCATTATCCAATCTACTGCAATCAGGAAAATCATTGGTGATAATAGACAGCCTTGCCTCACTCCCACCCTCACTTCGAAGGATGCCGTAAGTTCCCCGTTGTGGATTACTTGGCATGCAGCATTGTCGTATAACTGTTGGATGAGATGTATAATTGTCGATGGGACCCCGTAGTGTCGAAGTTGTTGCTGAATGATCACTCGATCGACGCTGTCGAAGGCCTTTTCAAAGTCGATGAAGTTGAGATAGGGAGGTGACTACCATTCGAAGCTTTGTTCAATGATGATCCGCAGTGTGGCGATTTGATCAATACATGACTTGTTTCTCCTGAATCCAGCTTTTTCCGGTCGAAGTTGTTCATCTAGGGCTTGTTTGATTCTCTCTATTTGGTATTTTGCTTGGGATGGACGGGAGCGGAATTTCGCGCCGTTTTTTGCATTGACTGAAGTCTCCTTTCTTCGGTAGCTTGAATAAGTAGCCTTTATTGCAATCCTTGGGTACTTTGTCCTCTTATATATATATATATACATATATAGTGAATTCCCTTAGAAACGAATTGAATATTTTAAAAGTTGTGTCATTAGAATCATAAGTTTTAGATAACGAATTGCATAAAGCAGAAAGAGTTAAGCTGGTTAAAACTAAAATAAAATTATCAGAATTGTAAATCCTTGGTAAATTTGGTTAATCGGTTGAAAACTAAAGTAAGATTAAATAAGCAAGTTGACTGAAGTAATTCAACTGATAGCCAAAATTAAAAGTGAACTTTAGGCAAGTTAACAACAGTGGTAATAAGGGGTAGAGACTTGCTTCAAATCAATCCTACATTACGTAAGTAATTTGTTATCTAGAATTTACAATTCTAATGACAAATCTTTGGAAATATTCGTTTTGTTGCCAAGACAATTTACTATGTGTACATGGGATTGTACAGCGTGAGAATGGTATCACGAAGACGATTAACTCTTCGCTGAATGCCATTTCTATTATATGACTCAATGGGGAAATACTGAAAACAGGTCGTTCACTGTTGCACTAGAAATGGAACCTCTGCTTATGTGATTAAGCAAAAATTGTAAAAACAATTTATTGACATCTTGACGACATCAAATACTCACAAATAAATCAGTTGAAAAGGCAGTTATTTTAATCCTCAAAATTGGAGAATAACTCAGTCTAACTGCATTCGATTTTCAATATAAATAATTGTAAAGTTTCGAAATATTGGAAATAAATGTTTTTGAAAAATATAGAGCATTATGGAGATTATATAGGTGAGCAAATATTACTAACTAATCACATACACACACTTTTGATTATGGTCACTAATATTTCACAGATCTCGTTAACACATCATCTGAGAGTAAAGAAGATAATAAATATTCAGCCTTATCCCTGTTCACTTAGATAAGACCCCGTAAATATTTATAGTTCCTGGACTACAATTTTGTGGAAAACGTAGTCAAATTAAACACACAGAGACTGACGTTCAGCCTGTGAACGCAATCAGTGAGATATAAGACTGAATTGGTCATTTAAAAGAAATCTTACACGATGGACATTACTGTCTTAAATACAGAAAGCACAGAAATGAAAATGGAAACGTTGTGAGGAAAAACGAATGTTGGACAAAAATTACAGAGCAAAATGTTGATAAAAACGTAGCATATTTCAGAGCATCGTAGAGTGAATGTCTCATGAGATCAAGCTGAATAGCGATTACCGTCTCTATTTCGAAGATGAATGTCAGAGGAGTAGTTAACTAAGGGGTCACATTTCCTTCAAAAGTACTAGTGTATATTTTAGCCTAAATAAATTTCATATGTGATAATATGAACATCAAATTCGACCAGTCTTTTTAGCTAAAGACATGATAATTTGGTAGCATTCTAACATTTTCCATTTCTCGTAATATACCCCCACACCTGTTCATGAAAAGCCTGCATATATGTCTTCATGTGATACAATAATGAAGTCTCTGTACTGTCAGGAGTTACAAGGAAATAAAAAGTGTAAATGGTTTTTGATCTGTACTCTGGAGATAATAATGATATTTCTTACGATATGAAGTAGTTCAGTGTTGTAAAATTCCATAAAATGCAGAGAAACTATTAAGTAAGTTAATATTTTAAGTCATTTTCTCATATGAATAAATTCATTGCACATGTTCTTTGAGAAATATTAACTAGTAACACTGAAATCTATTACTTTTTAAAAAGCCTTTATACTTCACTATTTGAATACAGTCGGAGTCATATGTGTCTGAATTCAATATCTGATTTTAAAGTCTTACTAAGACTGAACAACGTGTTTGCTTCCAATTTTAAGGTTCACAGTCCAATTAAATGCTGACTTCGGGTAAGTGAACACGTAAAACACTAAAGTTTCAGTGAGCTCTGAAATTGGATGTATACAATGGATCCAATTATTCCGATGATAATTGTGTGTGTGCTTTGTAAACGATTCAAGAAAAGCATGAGAGTGGCAGTACACAACTGTCGACTATTGTTATTCCAGGTTTATCGAAGACACGAATACTCGATTAAAAATATCCTCTAAACACATGGTAACACCTCAAACTTTGACCAATCTGAGAGTTTTGATGTTATATTCGCACATGTAAATATATATGTGTTCCATAAATAAGGACCGACCACGTTACCAATACTCGAGATGGACAGATCACGGTCAACAATAGAGGCATCTAGTTACTTTCTTCTTATTCGTGACCTTTAAGTCTCTGTTATTGTACTCTGGCAAGTATAACTCAAATGTTATAAGACAAGTAGAGGTTCAAATAAAGGGAACCGTGTTAGATCAACGCACCAAGAACTTTATAATAACGTTTGGTTAAAATGAACTTGGAAATGTAAGCATTATTATTTCAAAGAATCAGGATATATGTCTTCAAGTTTCAGCCTGATTATTTTTTTAAAGACATACATGCAGTACTGACCAGATGACATGCAGAAACTATATCTGCAATTTTAGAGAATTATAGTTAGTTTAGATCTCTGATATATTTAAATGGTCAGTCATCACATAAATACTAAAGATTGAATAATTCTCAAAACTAAGCCTATTGTTTCTGGTGCCTTTAATTCATTACTTTACTCACCTCTCCGTGTGTATTCGATGACCTTCTCTCCATGGACATACAATAATAATATTAAAAGGATGATACTGAGGTATACAGGGTTGTTTAGAATAATGAATCACTAGTTTAGTTACTACCTTTTTATTGGTCTGTGTTTTAGTAGAATTTATGATATTTTTATTTTTCCATTTTTAGAATTAATGAGAAAATCTTCAGCATAGAAAATGAACAATGTCCTAACACCCGTAACTTCATTGATATGCAAATCCTAATTAACCAAATAAATGTTTATTAAATATAAGGTGCTTTTGTTGGCATTAGATGGTTCGAGGCAAACCGCAGGAAATCTTGTACCTAGGTTTTATGCTAGTTGACACTCGTCAGCAAGGATTATATGCAGCGTTGATGGAACTCATATTCCCTCTGAGGTATGGACTGGTATCGCCCAGTGCTGCAGTCAGAGACATTACCGCTGAGCTCTTTGGGCTCACGGTTGACCTGCTGTAGGACTGTATTGGATAGTTTTGAATGGACACTAGTCAGTGACTAGCGTGATGTGTCTAGTCCTTTCTTTGATGCGGACTGAATTCTCTCAGTCAAATCTTGAAATGTGGCCAACATTCCAGGCTGCTCAACGTGGTCCTTTTATTCATCAGCATAAGATGCAGTCAGCGTCATCGAAGGATTATTATTGTTTAGTCTCACAGAGCTATGCAATAGGATTTACTGACGACTAATGACTTTTAAGGATAACATGAATAAGAAAGCATATAATTCATCCGCAGTCTTGCCATATATGGAGGGAACACCTAAGACCCTACTTAGCATTCTTAATAAAGCAGGAGTTAGGGTTGCACCTAATACTTCTACAAAACTAACGAGAGACAAGCTCTGTAGGCTAAACAACCCGTTGGACACAATTAAAAAAATAATATAATTTACAAAACACCTAACAATGACTATGAGGTCAACTACATAGGTCAAACTAGTAGATTGAGGGTAGTCAAATTGTCGGAACATACGAATTTAGCTGTGTTAAGAATGGTTGACTCCGAGATGATACGTTATTTAGAAAAAAGCTCAACGGTTGAACCGCATGCATTAACACTCAGCCAGACAACAGAGATTGGGATAGAGTTAAAATTCCAAAAGTTCATCAAGGAGGATTGTGAGAGAGATTGATTCTTGAATCTTTGTTTATCTGATCTACACCCAACACATGCAATAAATAATGACTCATCACTTACACCAGACATATGGAATATACAACTATCAATCAAATCAAGAGATGAGAAATAGTACAATCATGTCAACAAAGTTGGAAATTTGTGTGAGTAACCTGATATGACTGGGAGCAATAAATTGTAATCGAAACGTCATCAGTAAATATTTGTCATAGCAAATTTTCTCCACGATGGAATTATACACTACCAAAATGTTCATGCCTTATTCTCATATTTTTCCAGTCTTTCATTCCTTCCTGTTCCCAGTGGAACATAGGGCTTCAGGCTTTTACCTTCCGAAGTTTCAGTAGCAGTGGTGTTATTTCTTTACTAGGTGAGGTTGCTTGCTCAACCCCCAAGCTTACGACTTTGCCGAACTTAATACCAGCTAAGCGAGGTTTGAGAGTGCGCCCATCTGTGGCTGAGTCTCGGACCACATGCATGTTTGGAACGAAGAAACCGATGTAATATTTAGGGCTTTAGTGCAATGTATTGGATTCAGTAGATAACGTATTGTAATGTCTGTGTATTGGTTATTCAAGTACTTGATCCATAAAAATTACTGAGAACATTTACAATAAAGGGTTAAAGTTTTTTGATTGGACACTAGAAACTTATGTGATGTGTCTAGTCCTTTCTTTCGTGCAGACTGAATTTTTTCTGTCAGGTTTGTAATGTGGCGACCAATCTGGACAGGAGATACGCTTTTCTAATGAGTGCCAACTAGCACAAAACCTATGTTCATGGCTTCCTGCCTATTGCCTTCAACCATCTTATATCATCAAACGATTAAATTGTTTGCTGATGAAATAAGACAATCCAGATGTTATATTTTGCAAAGAGAAGAAAAACATTGAAAATATTATCATGTGAAATACTGAATAAAGCATGAAAGATGAAATTTTAAACTTCACCCACAAAGTACAGAAACTTCAGCTTTGGGTGGATGATATTTTGTTACCTGTAAATATCAACCAACTTAAAAGAATTTCAAAGTGGAAGCAGGTTTGTATGATGGGTTGCAACGGAATGTCTAGATAAATCTCTCTTTTGTAATCAGTGGTATTCAGAACATACGAGTCAGCAAAGAGATCTCTTTGTGTAACTTAACTTCGAAGCTGTACAGCTTCTTCCCCTGTTTATTTATACAGTATAGATTGTCGACAGAATTCAAGGGTTATTGTCAACCAAGAGTCAAGCAAGTCAAAGGGGATAAAAAATAAATATGTTTGAAAAATTAGGAACGATTTTACATAGTCAAAACGACTGACAACCGATTAATTGAGTGATGAATAACTGTTTGGAATTGGTTGATATGGGACGAGACAACAAAAGATTGAAAATTAATTGTGAAAATCATAAAGCGGACTGCATACAGGTTATTAATGAGTGATTCAAGAAGACAAAGACGAAAGACCAAAATATGACGCTAAGGCCGTGGTAGAAGAGGAGGCTGGATGAAACATTTCCGTATACGAAATGCAGGTTTCTCCTTAGGAACTGTTAAGGCGTTAGCTGCGTGGAGAACATGTAGGTGAAATCCTTTCAAACAACCTGGTCTTCCTTTACATATGACTTTGAAAGAAGTCTCTGCTGTATGACCAAAATTAATAATATACTCCAGATTTGAACAGCTGACTGTTCTACGTTCTCCTCTTGATCGTGCTGGTAAGTGTTCATAAACACGTTTAGATAATTTCTTTCTGGTACGGCCTATTTATTTCACAGGAACAGATGAATTGGTATATCTGTGGAAGTAAAACTGAAAGTTGCAGACAGAATTCAAATTTAAATCAGGTTTCTTCACACACTGCCGGCTGAATATATGTGGTTTAGTGATACTTTCCTTACCACATAAACTTTTGAATACCTGATGGAACTGTGGATACGTAATAATGAAAAAGTTTCAAGTGGATGTTGATCCTCTTATTCTTCACTTAGACTTGAGGAGATTTAATTGATCAATTAAGACACCATTTAAGCTGTTTTCGTCTTGTGAAGATGCTCCTGACTGATAGTAAACCTACTGGAGTGTAAATATGTAATTTTGGTTAACATATATGTAGGAAATATTTGCAGATGAATTCACTTATCTGTGGTAACTTGATTCCACTGATTCACCCAATAGCATGTCTGCATAAATATATGTATATATGTTTGTATAAACATACATATAATCAGTCTGGTCAAAACAATTTTACTATTTTAAGATCCATATGTTCAACAAATAAGATCGATGAGGATTTCGCTACTACTGAAAACTAGCGCACGGGGATCGATAGCCTTGAATTTTACGGATGATGCATGGAAAAGAGTAAACGTTGAAACAAGGACTGGAAACTCTTGAAAAACAGTCAGATCCTATCTGTCTGGCGCAGAGGAAGAGAGAAGAAATATCAACAGAAATAGAGAAACAAGAAAAAACACATGGGAAACCACATCCCCTACTCCCAGATTCATTCCGCTACACAAAACAAAGAACTTACAAATTTAATTAAATTCAAACAATTAATCGTCTCATTTCACCTACAGCTGAATTTAGAAATTCTCAGTCACTTACGGTAGCAGGAGATAATCTAACACATTCTATGACCTCATACCTGAAAACCCATTTTTAACATGCAAAATATCAATCGCTAAACTTTTGCTATAAATAGGACAATCTAAGCTTTCACGAAAACTAATGTACACAATAACTCCTGGCTGCCTCATTTTGCAGAAGACGTTCTCACCTAATGATTGATAACTAACGCCAATAAGCAGAAGAACAGCGTTTAATGGCTCAACACCCGGTTAACTGATTTTCGTATTTTTGTTACATCATGAACTCTACTTAGTACTTTGGATTTGTATTTTATAATTTCCCACTCTCCTTCGAACTCACTAGGACTTTCGATTCATTTAAATGTTAGGTGATATAATGATTTACTACTTCCTAACCTACATGTTGAACCATTCACACTTTACCCCCCTCCTCTGCTCAGCGAATGTCGTAATTTCTATCAAAGTATGTATGTTATGTATCAGTAAACTCTGGATGCATCATTATTTTTGTATCAACTACACTCTACTCAATTCCTCTGTTTTGCAATGTGCTATAAATTACTGAATGCTCTTCTTGTGGGAATAATTCTACTGTGTCATATTCGTATTATATACAAAAATTAATTTTCAGTTTGAAGACTTCTGAAAGCGTGAAATAAAACGATTTCTTTTATTCTAGCAGTTGTCTTTGTTCTCGCTATGTTAAAAGAATGAGCTTATCGTTTAGTTTAAATTCATGAAACTACTCAGATTGAAGCTTTGTAGACTAACAGAAAACGCAGTTTGAAAATAAACGATTATTGTAATTCATGAAGCACCGTGTGTGTTGATTACAAGCCAAATACTACAATTACGAAATTCGATCTGTTGCGTAAGAAAATCACTACATAGCTATAGATAAAGAAAGGTTGATATGAACAACATACATGCGCTAAGTGCAATTGTATTAAACGGTATGACTGGCTATAGCATTTTCACCTAATATGTTTGATTGCAACAATGATGTTCCGTCTGATAATGTTTACTTATCGAATCAGCGCTTCATGCATTCATCAGAAATAAATAAGTAGCGAAAGCTGATCCTTGGAAGCGTTGGTGGTACTGAGATCCTGGAAGAGAAAAGTTTGAGTATCATGAAAATTATTACGTGAATGTAGGCTGAAATTCAATTTCCGAGAGAAACATTTAAGCAGCATCATTTTGTACTGATTAACTTCTTTCTCCTTGCAATAAATATCCATATAAGTCACAATCTAGATTCCATCAATTGCATGTTTATTCACATTTATTTGGTTAAATAAGCATTTTGGTAATTATCATTTGTAAGGATCAGTGTTTCGATATGATTTACGTTTGAAATCATGTAGGTGAATGATGTAATGTAATGGTCAGAAGGTGTTCGTAAGCTTGTTGGTATACCGGTAAGACCATAGGAGTTTTCTACAGTTAAATACGAAAATAAGAAATTAAAGACTCTCAAGCGGCTACAGACGTTTCGTAAG